TCGAGCTAATTATAGGCTTTAAGGCCTATAGCCGACTAGAGTAACTACTAAGTAGGAGGGTCCTTAATATAGATCTCTTCATTAAGCAGGGTATTAGTGAATACGTTAACAGCGTTAAGTTACTAAGTCTTTAGATCGAAGTAGGTTATAATACTTATTAGCGACTTAAAGGTCCCTCTAGCGAGGGTAGAGGCGTAGGCGTTAAGGTAGTTATTTGGTTATTAATCCCCTCGAACCCAAAGATGTGCCTTAAACTTATTAATATAGTCTATAAGATCGACCTTATACTTAAAAACCTATTTAAGGTCTAGTAGCCTTAGAACTAATTTAGATAGTCCCGAGCCGTGCCCCTACTAGTAGGACTATTCCCATTGTTTAAAGGTGCTTATTACCTAAGCGTGCCGACCTTCTATAAGGCGGCCTTAATCTATTCTCATGTATAGGGACTTTTTAGTATTTATAACTAGTTTAGAGGCCCCTCGGGTATATCGCGGCGTAGTAACGGCTTCTTAGGTATATTAATCTGATTATAGAAGGTATAAAAGGAAGGAGGGGTATAATAGTCGGTTAGACGTCTACTACGCGTAGGTCTATCGGCAGCGGCTATTAGAATAGCAGGACGGCGGCTTCTTCTACTTATGGAAGTAGGTTAGTTAGTATTAGTAGTAGAAGAAGAGGATTATAAAGACTTAGCTATAGTAGATGGCTCTGCCGTAGCAGAAGCCGTAGATACCGGATTAATGGTAGTGGTAGTACTAGTTAATTCCTTTGTAAGAACCGATTAGTTAGGGATAATAATCCTATTATAACGGTATCACCGGTTACGGCCGTATTATTAGATTAATCTTCGGTATTATTAGGCCGTTTAAAAATAGGCGGTAGATCCGTAGTTCCGGTTAGTGGTATAGGAGGGCCGTTTAGAGTTATTAAAGGAGGGAAAACAGGTACTGTTAAAGGTATAATTATAGGTATAATTATAGAAGGCGTTAAAGTAGGTGCCGCCGGAGGCATAGAAGGCGTTATAGGGCTTATTCACCCTGTTCCGCGTGCCTTTTATGCCTCCAGCTATTATTATTCTTCTATAGATTCTATAGTGGTTATTAAACCTGCACCTCTATTTACCCCCTAGCAGTATTAGTAGTAGTAGTAGTGGCAGCCTCTGCTATAGCCTCCCTCGTGGTATTCTGCTCTAGTAGTGGTTTAGGTAGAAGATCGGTAACGTTAGTAGTAATAGCGAGAGGATCGTGGAGTTAATAATCCACGGGTAGATTTAATTACTCGAAGGCCTCTTCCGTAACCGGCGGCTCTATATCGCGATCTTTATATAACAGTTTTTCGTTAAAGGTAAAATCTCTCGTGCGTAAGATCCTCCCTAATTTTAGCACCTAAATCCGATATATATTAGTGCTGTCGTAGCCGATTACATAGCCGATATATACTCTGTCTACGAGCTTGGCATTACGGTTACGACCTCGTTAATAATCCGCGGTTAGTGGATAGGCTCTATAACTATAGCTCTTTAGGTAGCTAACGATAGGCTTTATTAGAATCATCTTTAGGCCATATTTATTAATCTAATCCTCTATTTACCCTTAAGGGGTTTTCCACTAGACGTCCTTCCGAGGGATAAGGTTATATAGATATACTATAGTAACTACTAGTTCTGGGTATATATCCTATTAGATACCTAAGGCCGTTACGTAGGTCCTGGCGATAGTAAAGAAAACGCCGCCGTGGCGTTCTGCCTTTGGATTCTATACAGCTATATATAGCAATTATCTCTAAATTAAAATCCCTTTCTTATCGGCCTTTTTATCAAAGCCTTTATAAAGGGATCTTTCTCTATCCAGGCAGATTACTATAATTGTATAGTAGTACTGCATTTAAAGGAAGAACGTAAAATTCACTAATATAGATAAGGCTAATTTATAGTCACGCAGGAACCTCACGATAGCTTAACGAGTATTAGGATCGTATAGAAGTATTATAACCTTTATACTATTATAGGCCTCGTTAAGGCTAAAGAGGTCAGCCTCTACCCTATACCACGGCATTGTCGCTTACTAGTTTAGCGACCTTCTAGAAATAACTTTCTTTGCCTTACTAAGGGCATAAGCCTTATAATCCACTATAACAGGACCTTTTTAAGTACCTTTAATAACGCTACTAGTAAGGGTATCTCCTATTTCTATAAGGGTAGTAACGCCAGCCTGCTCTAGCCTCTTATACTATAAACGAGTGTTAGCCACGCTTATAGTAGGCGTTATAGAGTTATTAAAGAAGCCGCTTAGTAGGTGCTATTAACGATCTGTTAGAATAAGGGCGTACTAATTACTAACGTTATTTAGAGGTAAAGCTAACAATCCCTCTACCTTTAGCACTTCGAGGCCGGATTTAAAAACGATACCCTATTCCTTTAGTCTTCTAGTCGGGATAAAGGTTATTAGGTAGTCTTATATAAAGGTAACGCGATTTAGCAATAAAATAAAGGGATTACTATATTCATCGTCTACTTCTAATTATATCCTGCTATAACTCTTAACTAGCTTAGTCTTTCTACTATCTGTTTATAAATAACGCTCTTTAATAGTATATTCGAAGTCCTATAATAGGTATTATTAGCTAGCAATATATCTTAAGGTGCCGGAGTAGATTAGTAGTTGATTAGTAGCCTCATAGGCGTAGCTAGCGTTCTAAGATAATATTAATAAAAGACTTCTTATAGTATACGGTATCGTATAGGCGTAATAGCCTTTTCGTGCTAGATACGGATTACACACGTAGCTTAACGTCTTTATACCCAATGATAGGTGTCTTATAAATACTCACTTAGTGGGATAAAGATAGAGTATTAGCGGGTAGTCTAATAGCCATAAAACGGCCTTAATTAAAGACGTGGATTAACGATCCTAAATCTAGGATCGTGTAGTATAATAGTGCTTTACATTAGTTAATAAAGAGCGACGCTCCCTATTATAATCTTAATAGTATTATCGTATAAGGACACGCCACCCCCCTTTCTTAGGAAGGGTAGACGCCTAGTTACCCCGTCGCGGTAACGGATAGGTCTTTTAAAGCTATAGTTATAATAGGCATAGTATTGTAGAGTTAATCTTCCAATACTTCCTCTATTTTAGTAGTAATACCCCTTATAGCTTCCCGCCTTTTCTATATGGCGGTATCTACGCGGCTTTTAAAACTATAGTTACGTATCTTCTTGTCTATAACCTTCGTAATATCTTCACGGCCACGCTAGCTATAAGGGCGTATATCTAGCCTTATATACTAATAGGCGGCCGTAGTATAGATGTTCTTATATATCTTATAGGGCCTCCTCGTTACGGGAGGGATAGCCTTTATCAACGTATCGCTACGAGGATATCTCTTATTATCTTTATTATTAGGAGTAATAGTATCCTTAGTATTAGGGAGATTCCCTAGGGTATTAAAGGTACCTCTTCCGACTCTAGGCCTTATAGCGGAGGAGTATAGGCTCTTTATATTTCTAAAAACCGCCCTTTAAGCCTTTACGAAGTCGTTAATTATTAGCTTATTTTCCGTAATCTTGTCGTAGTTATTGACTAGGTAATTATTACTCTATTCATAGGTAATAGGTCTAATAGCTTTTAACGCGTTTTCCGCCTAATAATCCGCGCTTAATAGCTCTAAAACGCTTATATAATTATAGTCTATTATCGCTATTTTCTAGGTTATAACCTACCTATCTATATCCTTAGGTATAGCCTTTATACGCGTAGTGTATTATCGGTATAGGACTAGGGCTTCCTTATAAAGGTCTATAGAGGTTAGTCCTATATATACGTAGAGGAGAGTAATCCAGGCTTATAGGTTATTTACGGTGTTATTCTATAACTAAGCGAGGAGGTTACGTAATATAGTATAAACAGTCCCTTCGATATACCAGCATACCTTACTAAACTCCTTCTACTACACTTCGTAATCGGCCTTTTCCTCGCGGTATACACGACGATCTTATAGGTAGCGCGTGCGCCTTTTTTCAGAGAGGTTATCGATAAATATAGGCGTCCTTATTAGTAGTTCTTTTATACGGCCGTAGCCTTCCGGCGAGCGGCCGTCTTCTTCTTACTAGCGGCTATAGCCGTGGCCGTTATAGCCGCTATAGCCGTTATAGCGGTGTCCGTGGTATTAATAGCCTTGTCGCCCTTTAGTATAATAGTGGAAGACGTACTAGCTATAATATCCTCTACCGCGTCTAGGTCTATAATAAGGGCTTCGTATTTATAAACGTTAAGTAGTATAGGCTTAAGAACTAGGTAGGCGTTAGCCTCCTCGTCGCTTAGCTTTAGATTAAGATAGTTATCCTAGTAGGAGGCAGATCTACCGCATACGACGTACTCCTATATCGCCTAATCCCTCTAGTTAATAAGGGTAATAATGGCTACCTTCTCTTCGGCGCTAGATATATTAGAAGATATCTTCGTTTACTTATCGGTTAATTAATTAATTAACAAGTAGGCTACTAGGTTAATTAATCGCTTGATTACTCTAATCAAGTTAATAGTAGTTATTTAAAGAGTGCTTATAAAACGTGATTACTTTTTATAGTAGAATAGGGGTAGCCTTATTAATATCCATCGTTTAGGCCTTATAAACCGGGCTTATAACTATCGTATATTAAAATAGGATTTACATAATTAACTTAAGAAAGCAGAAATCTCGTATATATATATTATATCAAGTTATATTTATATAAGTCTTTTATACCCTTAATTTAGGTGGTGAAGACTCTGTTATGGGTACTATATTATTTAGATCCTATCCGGTCTTTTCCGGTATCCGCCCTTGTTATATCCTGATACCCGAGGTCCCCGAGATCAGAAGCCCATAGTCAGGCATGGATCCCCTAGGGACCACCTCGTGGTCCGTGTGCCCATGCGACACAAGCCACTGCCATATGCGCACTCAATTTTCACCGTCTCAGACAGCCGCTATTCTCAGCCCGCCCAGCTGCCTTCATTCTTGCCAAGTATTGGTCCAAGCCATCACGGTGTGGCTCCCCTTGACCCAATGCCTTTTGCGCAGCTCGTACTTGGAAGCCCAGGGTCTGGCAAGAGCACATACTGCGACGGAAGTAAGGAGAGCATCCCACAAGCTACATTGGCAGGCACCGCTGATTCCTTGCAGTGCATCAGTTTCTCGGTGCAATCGGTCGTGTGTGCTCTGTTGTAAACTTGGATCCTGCGAATGACCACACGAGTTATCCCGCGGCCATTGATATTCGCGACTTGGTGAAACTAGAAGACGTAATGGGCCGTGATTGCCTTGGTCCAAATGGTGGCGTTTTGTACGCACTTGAACAGCTGGAACATAACTTGGATTGGCTGGAGGACAAACTCAAAGAGCTGGGCGAAGATTATGTTCTATTCGACTGTCCTGGTCAAGTCGAACTCTACACGCATCATCATGCCTTACGAAACATTTTCTTCCGACTCCAGAAGATTGGTTACAGGGTAAGCCGCCCGAAAGGCCACAATGATCCCATAACCTGCAATCAATGCCATGCGTGCTGAATGGAATACAGCTAGTCGTTGTGCACCTAAACGACTCCATGTGCCTCACCCAGCCGTCTCTATACATCGCAAGCCTTCTCTTGTCCCTGCGTGCCATGCTCCAGATGGACTTGCCGCACATCAATGTGCTGAGCAAGATCGACAAGGTCGCGTCGTACAATACACTCCCCTTTAACCTCGACTTCTACACAGACGTACAGGATCTGTCATATTTGATACCATACCTCGAAGATGAATCGCCGGCTTTGCGAAGTCACAAGTTTGCGCGGCTTCACGAGGCGGTGGCGAACATGATCGAGAGTTATGGATTGGTTCGATTCGAAGTTTTGGCCGTGGAGAATAAGAAAAGCATGATGCACCTATTAAGAGTCGTTGATCGGGCCAGTGGGTATGTCTTTGGTGCCGAGGGCGCAAACGACAGTGTATGGCAGGTTGCTACGAGGAACGAATCCTCCTTGCTGGATGTGCAGGACATCCAGGAGCGATGGGTTGACAGCAAGGACAAGTACGATGAGCTAGAGCGGAAGGAGTGGGAGAATCAGCTCAAGAAGAATCAAGGGAACCAACAGCAGGAAGGCGATGCAACTACCGCTTCAGTTCCACAAGTTGATGATCCGGACTTTGGAGACTTGACGATGCCAATGGATACGGGTGTCAGAGTTGTGCGTAGAAATTAAGGCTGTTGGTTTGTTCGTTTGTTCCTTTGTTCCTTCGACTTGTGATCATTCGCCATATTGCAGGCCACTGCTATCTTAGCCACTAGTGTCGTGCGGATATGGCATATGTGAAGGTAGAGACGAGACAGCTGGACACCGCACTGCCTGCGCAGCCAGCACTAATTGTCGGGCGCGTCGGATGGCCTCTTGCTCTGCTTTACGAATGGTGCCGCTAACGCGTGCGACTTGAAACGCGCATGATCTTTGCTCTCCCGTGCTGAGTGTGAGATGAGTCATGGTTGTGAGAGCAGCCCAAACAAGCCGGTAGTGAGACCTCTTGACTTTGAGAATGAAAGTTGAGGTTGCCCTTGACAGATATTTGACTAATTAATTGGTACTCAGCATGCTGATACGCCCACGAGGTTTACCGGTTTCTCTGGGAGAGCAAGCTTTTACCCATGGCATTTCCTTCGATAGCTCCGGCTCCAAGATCTCCAAATAAACTGATGATTTGACTCCGTATGCCATTCAAAAGGGATCTAGCAGTAAGGCTGTTGGGCACTGGTTGATGTACGATGAGGACATCGGGAATATCCGAAGAGAGCTGTTTTCCAGAGTGAGTTGGAGTGAGAATATTGACAAGTAGATATCTTTCCTTGATTCGAACCATACTGGAAGACAGACACTTGGTCGAGATGAAGATGCTCGTCGGACAGGTCGATTTCTCACACGAGGGTGCTCGATAAGGTAAGGTAAGGAAAGGTACTTACAGTGGGTCGCCAAACGTGAAGAGTACCTACCCGGGTAAAGGGGGGTTTTTGTCGAACAGATCACAGTCTTTTCGGTTACGTAACGGGCCGGACTGCAAAGAGTATAATCCGGGTGGACGCTTACAGAATCTGCCCTATATAAAATACGGTGGTAGCGTTTCCCTAACGGTCTAAGATAGTGGGAATTATACATAATTACCTTAATCAAGTTTAACCGATTTTATAACGATCTTAACTACGCTTAATCTAATAATTAACAGTCTTACTTACTAAGTAAATAACGTACCTTTTTTACTTTTACTATTACTGATTTAAGAAGCTGTCTAGATATACCGATATAGCGTGTTAATCTATAAAGAATAATTAAAATATCGGAGCCTATTACCTATAAGACCTATCGCGATTAGAAGCTCTAGTATAGCCACTACGAAGCTACCGCCGTTAATAATAAAGTCTAGGAATATCTACGCCTTAATAATCCTATTCCCCCTCATTAAAAGCCTCCTTACCTACCTACGGTGAATTATAAGCGTTGAATATAGTTATCTAAGCAGGCGCTACGCCGACGTAGCTTATAGATCTAATAGCCGGCGGTTAGCGCGCTTATAAATCTACGATATAGCGCTAGAAGATATAAAGGGATAACCACTATAGATATGCTAAAGGTATTAACGCTATACTAATATAGTAGACTAATACTATCGATAAAAGCCGTAAGCTACTCCTATATAACGCCACGCCTTAAGGGGTGTATAAAGCTATTTAACGCGATACCGCTTATTATATAACTACGCTCTATATAGATATCTACGAAAAGTATAACGAATATATCTATACTACTCCGAATAGCCTTAAAAGGCTATAGGAGTAGTTAGTAAGATAGTAGGAAGTATTAAAGCACCTCGAAGAGGTTAAATTAACGCCCGTAATATATATTTAGGTAATAGACTTTTTAGAGGTATCTATGGTATAGCTAGCCGTGACTAGACGAAGGCTAAGGGATACTTCCTGAATAAGGAAGTAGTTTAACCCGAGGATCTTAATACCCTTAGATACTAATATATTAAGACTAGACTTAAAGACTAAGGAAAGCGCGGTAACTATCGCGCTATAGTATTCCCTGCACTATATACTAGAAGCGAAGAGGGTAAAGATACCTTAAAGACCACGGCTAAGCCTAGAAGGAAGGGCGGCCGTAGGAAGAATAAAGCTAAGAATTCTACTACCGAGGTATTTATAGCTATACCTTCTATTACTTTAACTAACCGCTCTTCTTCTAAAAGATATTAATCTGCTTTCCGGTAAAGGGAACCCTATCGCGTATACGCTATACCTGGTTATAATATTAACGTTTATTACTACTTATTCCCGGAAATAGTAATAGACGGTTAGATTATATACGATAGTATTAAAATAACCGTCTAACGGATCCTTAAATACGACCCCGCGATACGCGCGGAAGTGGAAGAACTACGCACTATAAAGAAGGTAAAGAAGGATATAAGTCGGGATTCCGTATAGCTTAAAGAGGCGTGACTTAACTATAGCAGTGTCTCCTACGCTATAAGGTTTACGGCTAGCACTGCTATTAGTTACCCTTTTTAAGCCTTTGCTATACTTAATTCCGGCGCTACTATTTATATCTTTAACGAGTTTTCCCGCTTTTCTGATTTTATACCCGTAACGCGAGGAGACTACGTTATCGTAGGTAGTTCGTCACTGCCTATTAAAGGTTACGGTAATATAACCGTGAGATTAAATAGACTAATAGGAGGCCTTGACTTTAGGCACTTAAACGTCGTATACTGCGTAGAGTTTACTTATAATTTAATCTCTAACTAGCGGCTACGATAATAAGGATACTAGTAGGATTAAAAACTACTAAATAATAACTGTCTTTAACGTTCTAATAGATCTATACTATACTAGCGAAGCTATCACTTCGATTAGACCGTTATTACGTACGTGCCCTGCAATTCTGACTACTCTGTGGCTGCTTTTCTAGGCTTTTCATCGTCGTCTTCTACCCGAAAAGCCGTCTATAAATCGACGATACGTTATCTAAGCACTACGGAGGGCATCTTATAGTATCTACGGCTAGGGCACGCTAGCCCTAAGCCTCTTAGGTACCTAGAAGAGCAGATATAGGGGGTTAAGATTAAGAGACTAATAATAATCGACTACGAGGCTTATAAGCTTATAAAGATAAAACGGTATATTAGTAGGCGGCCTTGCACTATACCTACCTATATAGGGGAATAGTGGGTAATTAATTCCGCGGAATTTACCCGAATATCCGACAGGGACCTAAGGTTTATATTTTTTACTAACCGTTATAGTGGTTTTACAGCTACCTACGTTATAAAGAGTAAGCTAATAGCGGATATCCTCGTAATAATTAAGGAATTCCTTGCCTAGGTAAACTATTAATTAGGTTATAAGGTACGCGTTCTCGAGGCTAATAATAAGCTAACTTAATCGAACGATATCACCCTCTTCCTGCGCGAGGAGGGTATCCTGTTAGAGGTATCTGCTACCGATACTTAAGTATAGAACGGGGGTGCCGAATACGCTACTACCGTGCTGATTTTAAAAGGTCATACGATAAATATCCACGTAAAGCTACCGCTATTTATATTGCCTAAGGCTATTCCCACAGCGGCATATATCTATAACCGTATGCCACGAAAGCAGAAAAAGGATTAGAAAACGCTATAAGAGGTCCTCTTTAATAGGAAGCCGATTTTATTATATCTTCGAGTATATGGCTATAAGTCGTATGCGATAACTAAGGACGCCTAAACGACCACTAATAATCTACTAAATCGTATCACTCCCAGTGCTCTATATAGGCTACCTTATCGGCTACGATTCCACTAATATCTTCCGTATCTGGGTGCTAGGCACGCGCTGCTACCGTGTTATTCGCACGCGCGATATAGATTTTAACGAATATGCCTTTTTTAACGGCGATATTAACGTCTTTAAGGATAACCTCCGTTAATTAACCGAGGAATAACTAAAAGATGCAATTAGTTAGATTAAGTAGGAGAGGGCTGGCGATTCACGGCCGTTTATAGACGTATAAGCTAAGGACCCCCTCTTTTATATAACTGCTTATTTTGAATTTAACCCTTTACCGGGGCTAGTTCCCCCCGGATCCCTTTCCTTAACGGTATCGTTAAGGTTATAGTCCGTAATACCCGGCCGTAAGGAGGGTACCCTATCTATAGCTACCTAATCCATAGCTTCCCACTCTACCGGCAAACCCGCTATTAGTTATAGCGCTAATAATAGCCCTGATTTTAGGTAATCGTTATAAAGCACCTACGGCTATACGCTTCCTCGTAGATAGAGGAACACGATACTGCGATATCCCTACAGCGACGGCTATAAGGCTCTTTAGAGATAAAGGAGCGCGCTCTAACCGGTAAGGCGATAGCTAGAAAAAAGACTATTAGTTGGTAGTTTTAATGCTAGCCGTTACGCCCCGGATATATATATACTAAATAGGACTCCGCTAACTAAATTACGGTTAAAAAGGACTACGCCTATAATGCTATAACGGCGTTTATCGCCACCACTTAAGTCCAGGACCCCGATAACTACCTCGGGAAATATAACCCCGGCGGCTACGAAGATCTATCGTAAAGACCTCTTCCCTCCTCCGAAAAACCCTCGCGATATACCCTTATACCCTTACGGCTACCTATTCCGATAGGTATAAGAAGACTACCTAAAGAGCCACGAGAAGATAGGGTTATAGATACGGGTGCCGGCGTCCGTAGTAGATAGAAACTAGGTTCTTAATTCGATATAGGTGATAATATATCCATTCGATAAGTATAGGTTTTTATATAAATATAAGGTAAGGCTTATAGTACGAGCAGATTAATAGTATTAATCCTCGCTTGAGGAGACATACGTAGTAACTTTAGCCGGGAGGTTATTCCGCGCGTTAATAGTTATCGCCGCCCGTTTTAACCTTACGCTATTATAATTCAACGTTATAAACACATTTATATACGCGTATCTTGCCTATAATATCTTTATATACCCGCTGTTAGAGTTTCCGGCCCCTAGGAGTTGTTTATACCTGAAAAAGGCACTATATAGTCTTAAGAACTCCCTATTACTCCAGTAAAAGCACTTTTCGGCTATCCTGTTAGCGGACTGTTTCTAGATAGTACCCCAGGAACTATATTATTTTCTACGTCACGGTTTAATCCTGTTTTTCTACGTTAACGACATCGTTAGTACTTATAATGAATAATATAAGGTATAGATAAAGCAGGCTATTAATAGGCTATAACGCTACTATAACCTATAAAGTAGCGATCCTCTATAATACTTCCTTAGTATTAAGGTAGTTCGCGATAGTGCCGCCCGTAAGATTTAGTTATTATAACGCGATTACGTGGCTAAGTTAGAATACCTATTCAAGCTAAATAGTAATAGTAAGTATAGTAGTAACTATCGCCTAACGGACCTAATTAAGATCGCAGAACTACTACACTATTTAGGGACCTCGAGTAACGTTAAAAGCTATTAACGGAAGATAGGATCTATACTATATATACTAGTAATATCGCGGCCTGATATCGCATTTATAGTATCCAGGCTATACCAGTTCAACGTTAATCCAGGGCCTATATACTATAAGGCCGCCGATTATCTAATCATTTATCTAATTAATAGCTAATCGTTTATATTAGAACTAGGGGGTAGCGATACTATCGAAATATACACTAATACCTTATTTACCGATGATACCCTTAATCGTAAAAGTAGTTAAGCGTACGTGATACGCTTATTTAGTGGTATAATCGCGTAGCCCGCTAATAAGCAGGATATAGTCACGACGATAATAACGGAAGTAAAGCTATTAGCGTTAGTATAA